GAAAGGTATAGTGAGTTTCTTCACCTTGATGAACATTAGAAAACTATAATGCCATCAACTCATTCCCATTTAAAAATTTTCATGTTGGTCAATGTGAAATATAATCTTGAGGCCATCTAATTCTTAATGATTGTTTACTATCTAATTGATGACATGATTATATATTTCCATGGAATTCAAGTTGGCTTTTCCCAAGTTGATGTAAAATACGGTTCACCTGTTAAAATAATAAAATGTTTATTAGTTGTTTTGTAACAGAACAGTACTTGCTTTAATTAAAGAAAATATAGGAAAGAGAAAATCAAAATAACAGTTGTACTGTATATGGAAAAAAGAATAAAATCTTTCTAAGCAATTTCTACTGTTATCATAATTATCATACTGTTATCATAATTTGATTAAAAGTCTTTCTGTATGTGTGAAATGAAGTCTTTCTGTATGTGTGAAATGAAGTCTTGTATAATACATGTGTGAAACTGTGTTTAATTGAAAATGTGATTTCCGAGACTCTGGGAAAATGTGAAAGCAACGTGTGAAAATAAATCGAATAAATTCAGTATAAATGTACAGTACCTACCTTGATATACAGAACAATCAGTCAATATCATTTCATATTCCAGGCAACACTATCAGTGTTCATTCAGTCGCATTTGAGGCCGAACAGCATCTGATATATACGAGGGTTGCCAAAGCGAACAAAACAATGTCACAAATATGAGCGCCATACTCCGACAAATTGATACAATATGATGATGAATGTTGCACAGTTTTGTGTACATGTGTGTTCACAGCTTATATCTGAAGTATTTCTCTTAAAATTTGTTAAAACTTTGAGAATAAATACATAAAGAATCAACAAAACATGTGTATTTTTAAAGCAAGAAAATCGTAAGCGCCAGCGCTAATTGTAGTCAGCAACATAACGTTGTCGTTACTGCGCATGCGATAAATCTCCAAGAATCTTGGAGATTTCATCGTATTTTACCAGGGTCTTCCTCAGCTCACGCGCCACCACGAGGAAGACCCTGGGGACGAGGTTGGCGAAGCCTCTGCACGATTTGCATCGCAAAGTGGGACAAAGTGGGACAAAGTGGGACAAAGTGTAAACATCGAAACAAAAGGTGATTTTTAAGCTAAACAAGAAACGTCTTTTTGAAAATTAAATCATTATTTAATGCATGATTGATTGACCTCATTGACTAGTGCTTGCATGTTTGTGGATGGTCAAAAGTAATATTTTTTAACATTTAATACACAAAGCAAACAATCGTATATTTTACTCACCGCTTGGCCAAACATTCTGTATTTCGTACCGAGAAAAACTTGAATATTTCTTGAACTCTTCGGAATTCGCCACCAGTCAAAGAAGTAAAATACTCCTTGTATTCAAGCGCTTTCGTGTAGAAAATTTCTTTTGAATACGGCCAGTAGAAATATTTATTTTTAATTTTTCAAAATATCGGGTTTTTACTCGCACAGTCGCACGCGCCTGTCACACGCTGATGTTCGGGAATTAGTTCACAATCAGACCAGAAATGGAAATACCATAATAAAAGATGAAGTTTTCAAGATACAAGGCTCAAAAATAACACTCTAAGTAGTGTTTTGAATTCGCTTTCGAACAAGAGTAATGTTCGCCGAAAGGTATGCCTAGTTTATATTTATCAAGGGTAATGCATGAGTCAATTCCAGGAGTAACCATCCCCCCCCCCCCGGGAACACACGCGGGAATTTGATTTGATTGGTTATGATAGTGTAAATGCCCGGGTGCCGGGACACAACTTGAAGACTAATGCACGGCCCCTGGGCAAGCTGAGAGTGGAAAATGCCCTACCCCGGGGGCCGGGGACGATTTTACAGTCGATTTCACGAAACTTTGACCACAAATGTTCCGAACTTCGTTGCGAAGTTCGCAAGTTCGTTGCGAAGTTCGTAAGCTAATATTGGAATTCACAAGCCAATTTGTAAACAAAGTCCCTGATTGATCCGTGAAGTAAAAGAAGCCAATCAAATGCGTAGTTTACGAACTGGTTTGTGAATCTCATTATGAACTTTTGAACTTCGCAACAATCTTGTGAACTTCGCAACGAAGTTTCCGAACTTCGTTGCGAAGTTCACAAGATTGTTGCGAAGTTCAAAAGTTCATAATGTGGTCAAAGTTTCGTGAAATCGACTGTAAACGTTAATTAAACTTTTAATGGCATATAATCATAGTCATTTAATAACATTATAGTATTAAACTGCTATGGAATATTATAAAACATAAACCTTTAATAGTTGTATTTAAATTTGCATGGCACAGGGTATAATTTTCGCTTATTCTTACAATAAATTTCATGCCACCTTGACCACGAGGGCGCAAAATACGATCAGCGCGCTGCGCGCCCACATGCTTGCCTGAAACTATGTTTTGCTGCCTTAAAATTTGTCGGTGGGATTCTGGGCAACCATTTGTCAAATTCCCGGGGTCCTCCAATACCCAGCCCCCGTGCACATATATGAAAGGCAAATTCCCGACCCCCGTGAACTGTCTATCGGGAAAATTCCCGGGGGTGTCCCGGGGGGGGGATGGTTACTCCAGGAATTGACTCATGCATAAACATTGCGTGATTTGATATTAATATACAAAATCCCGCTTGACTTTCAAAGGTCATAAATTGCTATAGTGTTGACATTTCACTAAAACTATCGATAGGAACTAGGAGATATTTTTGTACTGAATCGAACGGTGGTATTTTCATCTACATAGCGTATATTGAACCAAAGATACGAACCTCCAAATAAATCAGGTCGAAACCGACTGAAGGTCGCGGTTGTTTATAAATATTGCTGAAGTTGAAATAGTTGAATTGTATTTTCAGTCTTGATAATAAATTTAATAATGGTTCTGTATGCTATACATACTCATTTTTTTATTTTATGCGGTGTTGGACACATTTCTAAAAATACAAATGTCAAATATAAATTTAAATAAAAGTTTCTTCGCTTGCAACCAAAACCTGTTCGCCAAATACGTTGTTTCCATGCATTGTTTTATACAGTATACTGATGGAGACCTTGTCTAGAAAAAATGCAGATGTTTTCTCGCACACTGAACATAACACTTTCTTATTTCGTAGAGCTAGTAAATAATCTCTTTGTCAGCTTGTTGCAGTATTGTAGAGAGATATTTTCTCAGTCATTTTGACTTGAATTTTGCGTTTGATAATTATACGCCCCCCCCCGGTTTACAGCCATATTGGGTGTGGCATCGTGCAGAGGCTTCGCGCCTTCCTTCGCCTTTCCCTTTGCCGCCTGCGCTCCTTCTCCCAGCGGCTACGCTCGTGTTCCAAGATCCGCCATGTAAAGTGTAGTGAAATATTTCTCATCGTAATATTAAATCCTAAGAAAACTAAAGCCTCTGCGGAGGAGAGAGCCTTATTACTGTATTAAATACATGTAGATGAAATTGGCAACTATCCGTCTGTGTCATTAATATTAAGGGACGGACCATTAGAAAAGGATTTTCTAAAAGGCAATATATATTTTTTTGTACACCTATGTCCCCCCCCCCATCACTTTTCTAATGGTCCGTCCCTAACGTAAACCTGTAACGTACGGCCCTATAGCCTGCGTAAAACATGAAAGTGTTTTACTTTCTGGGTCGATAGGAGTCCTGTTTTACAAAGCCGTTTTCTGTAAACAAACGTAAAGAAATAAACTAAAGAGTAAAGTCAAAAAACAAAACACCGCCAGCGGATTAAATTTTAACCCAGGGTTGGCCGCTATTAACAATCGGCCTGCATTGTTTATACTATAAAAATTTATCTGAAGACTGCGTGATAAAACTTTATATAGATTCGGCCAGATATATAAATAAATATAAATGGAGATTTCATGCTCGCTAAAGTTTTTCAAGTTTTTTAAAAAAATAGTTTTTAAAAAAGTTTTAAAAACTTTTAAAGGAGTTTTGAAAAGCAAGAAAAGTTTAAAAAGTTAGATTTTTAAAAAAGTTAAAAAAATTTTAAAGTTAAAAAAGTTAGGGTTAGGGGTTAGGGGTTAGTGGTTAGGGATTAGTGGTTAGGGTTGGGGTTGGGGTTAGGGTTAGTGTTAGGTGCCGCGAATTTATTATTATGATAAATTCAAAATTTGCCGCGAATTCAAAGGTGGAGCTCATGCTGCAATTTTCTGGCATCGAAAGCAAGGTGGAACTGATTCTTAACCGAGCAGGCATATTTATTTCGCCGGAAAATATCCATTGTTGGAAAATTTGCTCGCTACATCGATCCAAACTTGGCCTGGGGTGGAGCAGAGGCAGTAATGCAAGGTGTAGGGTAAAAGGTGTAGGGTACCCGCTGCACTGTCAAGTCATAGGCAAGCAAACGGAAAGTGTCCAAAGTGCGACAGGCGAATAAATAAGGACGATTCGCAGTTAATATTTAAGATGACTGGTATATTTTTGCAGGTTGGTTCAGGTAAGAGTGGTTGAATACTTTCGAGTTGATTTCTGTTGATAACATAATTGCTAGCTTGATTCTTGAATTTTCTATGTGTTGCTTTATCCAGGTATTTGCTCAACATGTCGTAAGAAGTTAACAGCATTAGTGCTAACCAGGCCGCATAAAGCAGTGCCGAGTGTTATCGATCAAATGGATGCGTTAACACTGGTAAGTTTGAATTATGTTTATTTGTATTGCGTGTCCAATTTTATACCTGAAACTCTATCTTCAGTTTTCGTGGGAAACGTCGGAAAATGAAAGCTTCTATATCAGGTTATTATCCGGTAGATTTTAGATTAAGCGTCCCAGCCAATGCTATAATGATGGCAATGGTTTTCAAATCATATCTTTCAATTAATTAAGCGTCAGTCTTCTAAGGGACCGGTCATTAATTGCAAGGGACGGGGGGAAGCTGGTGGAAAAAGAGGGGAGGACAGATATTTTTCTCCATGAAAAGGGGGCGGGGGAACATTTTTGTTCAATATGAATACCTGCCCCGTGACCCCGTCATATCATATAATCTACAGGTGAAAAATAGAGTGCAGTACACCTGTGGTAAGCACAATGCCAAATATTCAAATCCAAGGTCACAACAACATTTATTAAAATTTAGTAAACTGAACATAAAGTAATAATTGTACTTATTTTTTACTCATTGAGATGGTTCATTGCATCTACATTGCAACGAAATGGCCTTTAACAAAATTAATGGTAGATAATATATAAAGATATATAGCGTAATATGATTAAAGTGGCTTCACATTGTATAGAGAACTTTAAATTACGTATGTCTCTTTTGTTATTGCATCCTCAAGGGGGGACACAATTTCAACATCTAAGTTTTTATTCCATCAGCCGCCCTCCTGTAATTAATGATCGGTCCCTAATATGTGTGCTGGAAGAGCACTGAAACGCCAGACGCATGTTGAAATTTGGTTGGTGCATGGGAGGTTAGGGACTCGACAGGATTTCTTGCACCAACACTGTACCATAGATATCACAAATTCTTATCTTCTAATTTGCTCATATGTTCCTAATTGCTGCCATGCCTATTTTTTATCAGAATAAGGATATAGACGACGAGTTGGAAATAACGTTCTCTCCGGACATGTCCACACCTGTTTGTGAACGAACAACGTTTCACGTTGGAAGAAGTTGGAAGCACTGGTATGAGCGTGTATAAACCTGGCCGGCCAGACGTCTTTTACTTCGACTATTTCAGAAGATATATCAACTACACTGTCAACACCGAGAGAGAATCTCAATACTTGATACTTTCTTATTGGATGCTTAATGGCGTGTTATGATAACACGAGTCATTGGAGCACGCGTAGTAAACTCGCGACAACGTAGGAAATTTTGAAAATGTCAATGAATTACGTCCGGTTTGTTTATTACGCATAAAATATTCGTTTTGTCGAAATAACTCGTATATGAAATGTGAGTTTGACGATAGACAGAAATAGACACAAATATTATACATTTACTAGTAGACACTATATGGGTCAATCGATGGATTTTAAAACGGGAATGTAACATAGTTTGTGATCAGTCAGTTTCTTTTACAATGAAGAACATTTGATCAGTTTGTTCTTAATTTAAAAAGAAACACTGAGCCGTTTTTATAAACGCTACATAATACCATATATCTAGAACATTTTCATCTTAATATATATATATATATATATAAGATGAAAATGTTCTAGAGTGTGTATTATATAATTTCCATACCCAGCGCAAGCAGAAAGATGTTGTCTGCCGCGGCTGGGTCTCGAAACCGCGACCTTCGAATTACTAGATCGACGCTCTACCTACTGAGCTACACGGTCAGACGGATTTAAGACTGGAAATTATGAAATATATACTGAATGTCATAAACGTACTCGTTTATATTAATTCAGCATCGAACAATACTAGTTCTGCAAGTGTTATGTTAGTTGTGTAATTGTACAGTACACTCTGTAATATGTTAAGATGAAAAAATAAAAATAATGCTGAATTAATATAAACGAGTATGTTTATGACATTCAGTATATATTTCATCATTTCCAGTCTTAAATCCGTCTGACCGTGTAGCTCAGTAGGTAGAGCGTCGATCTAGTAATTCGAAGGTCGCGGGTCGAGACCCAGCCGCGGCAGACAACATCTTTCTGCTTGCGCTGAGTATGGAAATTATATAATACACATTCTAGAACATTTTCATCTTAACATATTACAGAGTGTACAATTACACAACTAATATATATATATATATATATATATATATATATATATATATATATATATATATATATATATATATATATATATATATATATATATATTGAGTTGTGTAATTGTACACTCCGTAATATGTTAAGGTGAAAATGTTCTCGAGTGTGTATTATATAATTTCCATACCCATACCTTGCGCTGGGTATGGAAATTATATAATACACACTCGAGAACATTTTCACCTTAATATATATATATATATATATATATATATATATATATATATATATATATATATATATATATATATATATATATATATAGTTTTTCGTGTTACCTCAAAAACCCACAACAGTCTGTTTCATACCATTCCTATACGAATGAAACAGACTGTTGTGGTTTTTTGAGGTAAAACGAAAAACTATATTACGCTCTATCTATATGGTAT